AACTCATCCACTTGCTCAATTAACTCTCCTTCTATTCTTATTTCACATACCGTTTTGCTTTCTTCTCTTTCAAAAACCATCACTTTCGTCTTACTTGCGTTCACTTTCATTCCCCTTTCTTTTAATTCCCAGTTCATTAATGTAACCATCATTTGCAACTCAGCCACCGATGACGCAAATATGACTTGATCATCGGCATACAAAAGGCATTTGACGGTTAACTCGCCCATTCTTAAACCACATTCTTCATCTTTCAAAGTTTGCAAACACCGGTCCATAAATAGGTTGAACAGCCAAGGGGAAGCTACACAGCCCTGTCTGACACCTTTTTGGATGCCAAACCAGTCCGAGTAGACCCCATTGATCCTGACACAAGCACTAGAGTCCCTATAAAGAGACCCCAATGCCTGTATCAAACCAGCGCTCAACCCATATGAGTTCAGTGTTTGCCATAACACATTCCTGTCCACTCTGTCATAAGCCTTTTCCAAGTCCATGAACGCACAAAAAACTTTCTGGTTTTTGGCCAAAAACTTCTCCGCAATCATGCGCATGGAAAAGACTTGATCTGTGCACCCCATTCCCTTTCTAAAACCCGCTTGCACATCCCAAATTTTTCCATCAGTTTCTTTCATAACTCTTTCAATTAACACCTTAGCATACAGTTTACCCACAATACTAAGCAAGCTGATACCGCGGTAGTTTTTGCAGTCCTGCTGTGACCCTTTTCCTTTATATATTGGTACTATAACTGCTTTACACCAGTTATCCGGTACCCGTTTTAATTCCCAACATAAATTAAACAAGGTGTACAGCAGGCCTGCCACCACTCCCTCTCCAGCCCTTAGCATCTCGAGTGATACTCTATCATATCCAGCTGCCTTACCTGCTTTCATGTTTTTCATTGCTTTCATTATTTCATCTACACTTATCTCCATACCCCTTTCCACTTCTTTCGGAATTTCTAGTTCATTTAATTCATACGACTCTTCACTCATAAACACGCTTTCAAAGTATTCCTTCCATCTGTTTAAATTCGAAACTTCATCATTCAGAATACATCCATTCTCGTCTCTTATAGCATTTATTATAGGCTGTTTTGTATTTCCCCTGGCAGTTCTTACGAGTTTCCAGAACATTTTTATGTTAGCCTGGAAATTATCAGATATCCTTCTATCATTCTTATCCATTCTTTCTTTCTTTTTCCTTTCAACAACTTCTTTTACTCTCTTATTTAGACGTCTAAATTCTGCCTTTTTTCTTTCAATCTCATCATTCATACCAGAAGAATTACCAGCTTTGGTTGCTAGTAAATCTAACCATGCTTTCTTCTTTGATTCAACTTCCACCCGTACCTCATCATCCCACCACAACGTATTACTTTTCCTTTCATTTGTTCTTTTACTTACATCACATACTTCGGTGGCGGTATCCACCAAACCTTTCTTAATATTATCCCACACAGTCTTCAAGTCTAAATCATTCATACACAACTCATTCAAACATCTAATATTTTCTCTCAGTCTACATTTATACTTCTCTTTCACATCTTCATCTTGTAACTTCTCTATTCTTATACGCTGTAACGCAGTGGTAGACACAGATGTCCGATGCCGCCAACGCTTGAAAAGACCATTAATTCGACATAAGACCAAGTAATGATCCGTCCCTACGTTGGACCCCCGGTAAACCCTTGTATCTACGACTGCGCTCCTCATTCTTTCATCCACAATTACGAAATCTATCATGCTTCTATCATCACCTCTTTCCCATGTATACATGTGAATCTTCTTATGACGAAAAAAGTATTCGTCACAAAAAGATTCTTTTCCGCACATACGGTAAGGAGGTCTTCACCATTCTCATTTATACTTTCATCACCAAACGTTCCCAATATCCTTTCATAACCTCTTCACCCCAACCCTTCCATTAAAGTCTCCTAACATAATAATATTTTCATTTTCCTTACATTTTGTCAACACCATCCTTACCATGTCCCAAAACTGCTCTCGAATGTAAGCGGGCTTAGACATGTCTGGGGCGTACACCCCTAGCAGGAACAGCTTCTTTAAGCCCACTTTCATTCGTATCCATAGCAGTCTCGGGCTTACACATTCATACTCTTTCACACATTGACCCATTCTTTCTGAAAGGATGAAACCGACTCCCTGGCACGCCCGTTCGGTCTCGCCTACACCAGACCAATACGCGGTATACGTGCCATGTGCAGTGGCATCCTTTCCCTTTCGTTTCGTCTCATTCACACATAACACATCTATTCCTCTGTCATTCATCATTTCGCATACTTCATCCATCTTATCATTCATTCCTCCACATACATTCAGCGTAGCCAGACGGGTTTCCGCAATCCACTTTTCGCCCCTCCGGGAGACAGAACGTGACGGGTGGCGAACCTCGTCGCCGGTTTTTCTCCCGGAGATTTTTCGTACCCCTGCCCCATTTAAGGGGCGCCGGGAACTCGGGGCCATTTCTTTTATTTCCTGAGTCATTCGAACAAGGGGTGGTGGTAGATTTTACGCCGCTACCATACGGCAAGGAGCCGAGTCTATTTTTTCGGCTTTGTCGCTCGTTTAGCACCACCCGGGGGACACGTGTAGGGTGGGCCTAAGGTTAGGTGGTCGGAGCCTACGGACGCGAGCGACTCATCATTTTATTGTAATTTTATATAATTGTAAATTTAGCATTTCAATTGTATTTTTGCATGTATTATTCAACACAGTTTGTATTGTTCAGGAATATTTTTTACGTGGTAGAGTCACGCTGCAACCATATTATACTTGTAGCACGAATGGGTCGGCTCGACCGGGGAAGGACCACGCTCTCAAAAATACCAACGTAAAATAGCAGTTTTATGCTGCTGTGTTTCGTATGGTAAGTGCAGAGAACCGGAGATCCTTTTTACTGGAAACGAGGCATTTTATCTTAGTCCTCACGGGTGACAACGCATTTGCATTTTGATTCTTAATCGAGGAAAAATGTATATGTCCATTGACCACAGAATCCACTTACCATCAGGTGAACTGTGTGCTCGTTTGTGATCCTATTCTATATTAAAAAAATTATATGCAAGACTGAACCCTATATGTCAAGGTTGGAGAGGAGCTTAGCTCTATGGTGAGAGTATCAGAGGGCACAATACAGGGCTCTGTTTTAGGCCCAGTGCACACATCACATATGTTAACGATCTGATTAATCTAATTAATAACTGTGAAAAATATCAATTTGCAGACGACACATGTATAGATCCGCATCGGCAGATGTTAATATAGATGTAGCACTGCATCGGCTTCAAACGAACTTCACCCTTCTAACCAAGTGGTTTCATGATAGTGGGCTTGTTCTTAACGCTAGCAAAACTAAGCTTATGTATATCAGCTCCAGCCAAAATAGGATTAATACAAGTCCTCAATCAATCGCCCGCTATCACGCTTGCCTTCACTCAGACCATACCAACTGCGCATGTGAACCCATAGAAATAGTAAAAACGCAAAAATATCTTGGACTAGTCGTTGATGACCGCTTTAAACAAACCGAGCACTTTAATTCTGTTGCGATGAATTGAGAGCAATTTTGGCAAAATTTTTCATTAACCAAATAGAAAATGCTGCTGTACAAAGCATTAGAAGAATCTGTCATATCCTATGGGCGGAGTAGTTACGGACGGACATACAAATCACACCTAAAACTTATTTATCAACCTCAGTTAATAATTCTTAAAATCATCGTATCACCTCACATTACAAGTACAGAAACAATTATGATGGTCTATTTAGTTACTGTAAAATTATTCTCGTCCATGAGGAAGTTAAATTAACTTTACTTAACAAACACTTTTTTAAGAAAGACATACAACACTTAATTGATCATAAAAACACACACACACACGCAGTGTATCAAAATCCCAAAAGCTTTGCTGAAAATACCATACACACAGTCCCAAAAGCTTTGCTGAAAATACCACGATCTCAAAATCGTTACGGAAGACAATGACTTGCCTATATTATACCCAAACTAATATGTAAATGAATTACCCTTTACACTTAAAAATGACATTACTACGCAAAATATAAAAAGAAAACTGAAATAAAAAAACATCCTAGTCCCGGCACGAGTAAACTTTAATAAATTTACATTTTTACTACTAGTGAATATATTAGGTACGTACGCATTACGAGCGTATAGATCTTCGCTACGATTTTGAAGCATAACATTATATCTACCGTGATATATAATAGACAATGCCAGTACGTAGGTTAAGCATCGTCGATGGAGCATGGTGTACAGATAAACCTTGTTAGGTTTTTGCGACGTGATTAATTAATTTAAGCTTTGTATTTGATTTATTTTACTAAATAAAGTAAAAAATAAATGTGTACTTTTTTGCTCCTGAATTTCTCATAAGTATTATATATATATATATTGTTATGACATCTTTTTTTGGTAAAAATACTACATCTGTTCAAAAAACGGTGGCAACCCTAGAAAAATTTGATCTACAAAAGCAAATAATAAAACCAAACATACATTGCTTGGTTGGTAATATAATTAATATGATTGGTCAAATCAAGTTTTGAGTCTAGTATAACTCTGATGGGGCAAGTCACCACAAATCCCATCAAATCGATTGTGTTGAGCAATATATAGTGATCCACTGTATCGAAGGCCTTACGGAAGTCGGTATACTCAGAATCAACCTGTATTCCCTTATTCATATGTTGAAATAAGTATGTAGTATATACAAGGAGATGCCTTACTATGGATAGTTTCTTAACAAATCTGTGTTGTTTGGATATGATTATATTGCGATTGCAACGATAATTATCTACTTCATTCTTGGATGGTCCATATGAATAGGCGTGATATATGGAGGGTCCATATGAATAGGCGTGATATTGGCTGTTTTGTATTCAAAATAGCAGGACAGACACCATCTTAAGGCACAATTCTTGATGATAATTCAAGTATGGTTGTCATTTCAGAGATCCAGATCGCAACAGGGCGAATCGAAGTATGGACAATCGACGACGACTCCCTTACGTCCCAGTCATTATTCTCGACCGACCACCACTCCTGAGGTGAGAATATTTATTTTATTTTATAATATTTTACTGTAGCGATGGTATTTCAGAGTTTTCATTAGAGTCCTAAAATTTGTATTAATTAAAAGTAAATTCATTTGCAGCGAACGCCGTCAAAAGACCGATCGAATAGCTGGCAAACATCGCTGGATCGAGCCTTAGCTTTTGTTACCATCAAGGATCAAAGGTATAGTTTCACCATCATTAATTTATTATATCAAATGTCTTGTCAAAAAGCTTATGTGATTGCGGTGTAAAAGTTTCCTTTATTTTATAATTGCTGTTGATAATTGTAGCGTAGAGTAGCACAGTTTACAGCTTATGGCGGCTGTACACGCTCGTCTCGTCGCCTCGGGTGCCTCTCATCGCGTAGAGGCTCGACACGAGAACAAACCATGTACACATTCGAATCTTTTGAACTCCGTGTGCCCGCTGAGATGGACCTAGATGACTGCTACTGTGTTTTGCCTTTGTGCTATTAGTTGTTATAATTTTTTACACATTTATCATAAAAAGAAAATTAATGAGATATGGCGCAGAAGAAGATGGTGGATGGTTTCTATTTATCGTAACAGAACTATTTACGGTGAATAAAATAGAGCACACTCTCGTTTTCATCGCGAGACTCACGAGACCCTTTGACTCGAGCGCAAAAAACCGACAGGCTTCCGAGAGCGAACGAGGGCCGCGAGACGCGCCGCGACGCGACCGGAGCACCATGCACACACTCGTACTCGGCCTGTCTTGTGGTGTCTCGACGAGTATGTACAGCCGCCATTAGAGTTGTGAAACGTCTTTGATGTCAGGCTATGCCCATGGGTTGTCACGAAAATAGAAATAAAATAATTTTAGGTATTATTAATACATTTTTTTCAGCTTATGTTTATGTATTAATGATTATAATACTCATTATCATTTATTAACATTATGTATATACTTATGAGGTAAAATTATTTATCGATCAAGATCACTTTTTATTATTACAAGAAAAACACATTTACAAGTGTTGCACTGCCTAATTTTGGTGAAACATTCTTTTAAATATGTTTTCAGTTTTCGACTGCTAAATTTAATTATATACTGTATTCGATTTTGCATAAACTATTTTATCAAAAAAAAAAAATGAGGAATACATAAGCATAGCCGTCATTTGAATTAAATTTTACTCAGTACCTCATATAACTATAACAGTGAATCTTCAGTATATATATTTTCGAAAACGGTACTTAAAATTAGTAAAATAAGTACTATAAAAACGCTCGCGTAATTAGGAGGGAATATTCGGTCCTTAGTTTTTCAGTTTAATGGTGATTGGTGACCGACGTCACAAATATAATTGTTACGAATCCGTAAAGATTACTAGCCGTACAGTCTAGTCGCTATTTGTTTAACCTTTTGAACGCCAATGTCGCCTATACTTGACCAGCACCTGCGAGCTCTGAGCGCCAACGACGTTTATAGTTGACAAAAAACCCGGCCCACAAAAAATATGAAATATAAATCATCATTCATTACAGACCTTCACAAGTCCACTGCTGAACATAGGCCTCCCCCAAGTAACGCCACAAAGCACGGTCCTGAGCCACCTGCATCCATCGACTTCCTGCATGTCTTACCAGGTCGTCACTCCATCTAGTGAGGGGTCGCCCTACACTACGCCTACCGGTACGAGGCTGCCACTCGAGAACCTTTCTTTCCCATCGGTTATCGGGTTTTCGAGCTATATGGCCGGCCCATTGCCACTTCAGCTTACTAATCCGTTGGGCCATGTCGGTCACTCGGGTTTTACTGCGTATATCCTCATTTCTGAGTCTAGCACGCAGTGAAACTCCGAGCATAGCCCTCTCCATAGCTCACTGAGCGACCTTGAGCGTCCTCATACGGCCAGCAGTGAAGGACCACGTCTCTGATCCGTAAGTCATCATTGGCAACACGCACTGGTTGTATACGTTAGTTTTCAGAGATTGAGGTACACCTGACGAGAAGATGTGTCGTGATTTCCCGAACGCTGCCCAGCCGAGTTGAATCCGTCGATTGACCTCTCGGTCGAAGTTGGACTTACCTAGTCGGACTATTTGTCCCAGGTAAACGTACTCGTCAACAACTTCGAGCATAGTGTTCCCAACAACTACCGGCATAGGTGAGACATGGACATTAAACATGATTTTTGTTTTGTCCATGCTCATCTTTAAAACCGTCATCCGTTGGGAGGCACCATTGAGGTCATTGAGCATAGTGCTGAGGTCCTCCAGCGATTCTGTCATAAGGACTATATCGTCGGCAAATCGAAGGTGCGTGATGTACTCGCCATTGATGTTAATACCGTATCCTTTCCAGTCCAGTAGCTTGAAAACGTCTTCCAATGCAGCGGTGAAGAGTTTCGGGGATATAACGTCACCCTGTCTTACACCTCCCTGCAGTTGGATAGGTTTCGAGCTCTGATTCTGTACTCGGATAGCCATCGTAGCCCTACTGTACAAACACTTCAGCACTTCGATATACCGACAGTCAACTTGGCACCGCTGAAGGGACTGTAGCACCGCCTAAATTTCGACGGAATCAAAGGCTTTCTCATAGTCCACATACGCCAGGCAAAGTGGCAGATTGTACTCTTCGGTCTTCTGTACAATCTGCCGCAGGGTATGTATGTGGTCTTGGTACTGAAACCTTTTCGGAAACCGGCTTGTTCGGGAGGCTGGAAGTCGTCGAGTCTGCGTGCGAGACGATTCGTAATGACTCTCGAAAACAGCACGTAGACGCGGCTCAGAAGGGAAATCGGTCTGTAGTTCTTCAAGAGAACGTTGTCGCCTTTCTTAAAGAACAAGACCACCGCACTTCTGCTCCATGCCTCCGGAGTAGTGCCACCATGCGGAGTAGGACGGAATTGAAGATCTTCTGAAGGACTTCAAGTACCGGTGTTCCACCCGCTTTCAGAAGCTCCGCTGTAATTCCATCCTCGCCTGGGGCCCTGCCGTTTTTAAGATGCTGGAGAGCCATTCTAATCTCGCGCAGACTGACGTCCGGAATATCATCGGAATAGTGTCGGGTAAGACTTGCTCTTGGATCGCTACTCACACTTGCGTGTGGCTCCAACGATGATGTGTACAGCTGCCCATAGAACCTCTCAAACTCACTCAAAATCTCAGGTGTCTCGAAAAGGATGCTGCCACACTCAGTCTTCAGCTTTGACAGATCTCTGGCAAATACTTTGGAGCCCTGGTTCCGCTCGATCGCTTCTTTAATACGAGCAGTATTAAAGTTGCGTAAGTCTCGCTGCATGCATTTGGAGATCTGTCTGTTCAGTTGCCTGTATGCTGTCAAATCTGTTGACGATTGCAGCCTCATCTCCCGTCCTTCTTCCTTGCTTCCACGAGCTTGTCATTCATATCGTCCACTGCATTGCAATCTTCTAGGCACTGAAAGCGGTTACGTAACTCGAGCTGAAAAGTCTCGGGATTCTGGATTAGAGCACGAGGGGGACGGAGCGTTCACTTCATTAGACGAGACCTCTCCAACTTAACGTTTAGGTTTAGTGTGCCTCTAACCATTCGGTGATCACTGCCGGTTTTCACCCTTGCGATCACTGAGACATCACTGAACAGTTGGCGTCTGGTCGACATAATGAAGTCAATCTCATTTTTTGTCGAACCGTCGGGGCTCGACCAGGTCCACTTCCTGTGGGACCGCTTCTGGAAGAAAGAGTTCATCATAAAGAGTCCCTCTTTCTCCATAAAGTCAGCCAGCTGTTGGTCCCTACGGTTCCGTTGCCCTACTCCAAATTTCCCTAACTTCAGCTCACCGCCTTCTCTTGTGCCTAGTTTTGCGTTGAAGTCTCCCATCAACACCGTGTAGTGGGTTTTGGAGGAATTCATGGCATCCTCATACATTTCCTCCACCTCCTCATCGGGATGTGTCGAGGTTGGTGCGTAGACCTGTATGACCTTCAGCGAATACCGTTTGGTGATTCTGAGTATCAGGTACGCGACCCTCGTCGACACACTCCCAATCTTTACAACGTTGTTGACGAGAGACTTGTGGACGATAAATCCGACACCTCCTTGGGACAGATGGTCGCCCTCCCGGTGATAGAACAAGTTGCCGGACTCGAGGATTACCGTGTCCTCCTCCTCTCTTCGGACCTCAGATAATCCAATAATATGCCAGCGCAACTTGTCTACCTCTTCTTCCAGCTCCAGTATCTACTCGTCAGTCCTCAGAGTGCGTGCGTTATACGTTGCCAGGTCGAGTCGTCGTAGGTGGCAACCAAACCTGCACCGGAGATTCTTAGCAACCCCTGCCCCGCCGTTACCATGGTCGCCACCGTAGCCAGGAATAGCGGGGCCGGCGGGGACTGGGGGCCGTTTATTTGCGTCGTTGCTCATGGGGGGATATTTGCCATAGTTGCCACGCTTGGCGAGCAGGTTGGCAACCGCAGTTTTTTTATTATGTTATTGTTGTTATTAGGAAGATGCTGCTGCCCATCTCCTTTCTAATATTGTTATGTCTATATTCTGATATTGATAGATATTGGAAAATTATTACTGGGGTTTTAATTCTACACACCTCAAAAAGGAATAACCCAGCAACATGTGAGTATAAAAAACAAGTCTCCTAGAGCCACAAGAACTAAGAAACATTGAACTAAAAAAAAAGGGTTTTTATCTAAGCAAATACTATGTCCAGCACGCCAAAGTCGTCTATGGTTGACCGCTAGTGTCGATCGCGGGAGGCGTAGATTTCTTGAAAACTATCCAAATTCAGCTCAAACATGTTTTTTTTTCTATTATTATTGATATTTGAATAAAACAAAAGGTTAAAAACATAAAACTATAATTAGCTACATGAATAAAAAAAATGTTATCAAATCATCTTCCCATAATAAATCTAATATCTCAGCTCTGGCGCATCCTTAGCGCGTCATCGAAAATTAGTTCACTGTAGAGATGGGTGGTACTAGGTACATTTCGTACTAGGTGCACGTAGTCCAATTCCGTATGAATACTCGATCCAAAAAACTTTTCCACATAGTCAATAAAGCATCATGTACGCATAAAGTTTAGTATTGTTGGAATAGGATAGGCTATAGTTTCAAGTACCATATTTTACGCGCGTACTACTGAAACGTGAGCAATAATTAATTGTAATCTTCCCATCATACTTTACAAAAATATTGTAATTATTCTCGTAACTAAATTACGAGAATTAAGATTATACGAGAAATTAAGATAATTTACTTCAAATGTCCCTTCCGCCATACTACTTTCTTTACTCGATGTAGTACTTCAAAGTACGTGTAGATGGCGCTTTTACAGAATTATTTCATATTTTGTAAAATTTGTTTTAAAAGATTTTTATCTTTGATTTATTTGAAAAACTCTAGAATGGGAGTACTTACCTATTAATTTTGTATGTCTTCATTTTAAGCTGCTATGGTTTTTTTTACTATTGCTATAATTCTATAATAGGTTGATGCAGCTCATAATGACGGAAGGGAGAATTTAAAGTAGATCATTTTTATTTATCTCTCATATAATCTTAATAGTGATGAGACTAATTATAATATTTTTTAGATTACTATTTGCATAATTCTTATGAATAACATTAAAAAAAGAATTGTTCTGAAAAACAAAAAATAAGAAGTGAGTTTGTCAGCTCCGGCGCACGACTGAAGTTTACTCCTTACGAATGATTATAAAATATATAGATTAGTAAATGAACGGTACTGAAAGCATGCATGATACATTTACTTATATAAATTATATAATTTATATTCATCAAAATATGTTACATAGTCATGGGAACGTAAATTATTTACTTTTCCAATACTACGTTATGTAGACACGGAAAAATAAAACCAGCGTCCACCGAGATCACTGTGAGTCCACTGTACTAGAAAGACATCGCTGCCTTGTATTATGTTCATGTAGGGTTGTCTCGATATATTGACAGACATAGATAGAAAGACTGCGTAATAGTGTAGTTAAAAAAAGACAAAATATTATTACACTACACGAGTGCGCGTCACGTTACTTATATGTGCATTAAAATTTGGGTCAAATTTAAATGACTGACAAACTAATGATTTAGGCAAATGCGACCCGAGTTGAGCGCCTAGTAACTACAGTCTACGGCAACAAAATACGAGTACGACGCGTAGGCACAGTGAGATTAGATGGATCGAGTATTTTAAAAGTTGGAAAAAGTGCAACCTAGTCTCGTTAAATACTTAATCCCCGGATCTATTCTAGTATATACGCTTCATCTCTACTTCACTAGGCGCCGTAGTCAAAGATAGACGACACCCTGATGACGTCATAAGTGATTAGCGGGAAAAGTAGTGCAGTGCAACATGAACGATTCCTCAGAACTAATTCGAATTTTGGAAAGCGTCGATGATGATGAATTTTGATTTTTGATTGATGAATTGAATTTTTAATTGATTGGTGAATAATTATGTACCATTTGTTGATTTTTATAATAAGACCAAGATTTTAATATTATAAGACTGATTTGCACCAGTTAAGGTGCGAATTATACAATTGTTGATTAGTGAATAATTATACACCTTTTTTATTTTAATAATATAAAATTACAAATAATAAATGTGCTTTTTTAACTTAACGTATGAAGAGCAATTTTTCATTTTGTGTTGTGCTATTTTCTTTCTCAATCTCAAAATCATCTGGCAGTATCAGCATCATATCAAACCCCCATGGTCATAAGAGCGTAAGACTTTTCTTCTGTGCTTAACTTGACCTACGCCTCCCCCGACTCATAAAATATTTTGAATTGATGTCTCTATATTTTAGTTAGATCGATTTCGAAATCGATACATAACTTACGACACGGCTACATCCCTAAGAAAGTTTCAAAAGGAAGGTCAGCTACGCCGTTGTCGCCTAGTCGTGACAGTGATGTCAACACGATGCAGAGTAGTGCTGTGACTTACTACTATTTTATTGTTATTGTTTGTTTATTATTTATGTAGAAAGTACATATATAAAAAGAGTGGAAGACAGCACAAGATTAAATAAAACATACCAGATTATAAAGAGTCATTTATTGCGTAAAAAACCAACAAAAAGAAGTTATTTTGTGTCATCGATATATCAACTCTTGGCAACACTATTCTTTTTGTAGGTATTTTTGTTTACTTTTCGCTTTGGCGTACAGGACACGGTAATGCGTTTTTGGCGTGGCGCTACCTTTCCTTTGCCAACTACCTGGCAGCATATAAATAAGGTGCTGTTCTTTATACCCAGCAGTTCCTAATATCCTAACCTTATTATATAAATATACATAAAATATGCGCCATGAGACCTAAGGTAACAGACGGACAGAGTCAGGATGTCAGTGTGGTGGGGCTATCTCACAGCCAGTCAAGCAGCCTCATGAGACTGATCAGGGTTTCTGACGGCTGAAGGTATCTTGGTCGCAGTGAGAGGGGCCTAGCTAGTAATGAAGTCGTCGTTCATCGTTGAAAGAGGATTTTATTCACAATACATTACAACAGTAACATGTCGTAAATCCAAAATCCTCCCCAACGATAATTTGAATTTTACTATTTCAATATTTAGTGAGAAACGTGTGTCAATTAGTGACTCAAGAAATAAGGTAGTGACTGAATACTTTGGGAGATATATTATCCTTTTTTTTTTACATACTAGCAATGCTATTAACATTAGTAATATTCTCTTTAACCATTCCTGGTAAGCTTGAAATGCGTGTTAGCAGTGGTTAAAAGCAGCAGTAGAACGGAACTTTGTTTTGTAGGATGCTAGGTTAAATTTAAAATAGTAGCCTGGTCGTAAGGTACGTTTAGCAGTGGCACAAGTGTATGGGGAATGGGGCACGTTGCAGGCCGATATCGAGCGCGGCGTGGCAGCGCGTGGAGTACGCGCGCGTGACCGAGGCGCTGGCGGGCGCGGACGGCGCGCCTAGCATGGTGCTCCTCCGCCCGCTCAGCATCACGCGCTTCGTCGACATCGTGGGCGCACTGCTCTCGCGCATCTCGGGGGACGCCAAGCTCAACAACGACAACTACATCACCAAGGTACGTGACCGAGGCACTAGAGGGCGCGGGCGGCGTGGCCGGCATAGCGCTCATCCGCCCGCTCAGCATCACGCGCTTCGTTGACATCGTGGACGCACTGCTCTCGCGCATCTCGGGGGACGCCAAGCTCAACAACGACAACTACGTTACCAAGGGATGTGACCGAGGCACTGGAGGGCGCGGGCGGCCACCGGCATGGCGCTCATCCGCCCGCTCAGCATCACGCGCTTCGTCAACATCGTGGGCGCACTGCTCTCGCGCATCTCGGGGGACGCCAAGCTCAACAACGACAACTACGTCACCAAGGTACGTGACCGAGGCACTGGAGGGCGCGGGAGGCGCGGTCGGCATGGCGCTCATCCGCCCGCTTAGCATCACGCGCTTCGTTAACATCGTGGGCGCACTGCTCTCGCGCATCTCGGGGGACGCCAAGCTCAACAACGACAACTACGTCACCAAGGTACGTGACCGAGGCACTGGAGGGCGCGGGCGGAGCCGCGGCCGGCATGGCGCTCATCGGCCCGCTCAGCATCACGCGCTTCGTCAACATCGTGGGCGCACTGCTCTCGCGCATCTCGGGGGACGCCAAGCTCAACAACGACAACGTACGTCACCAGGGTACGTGACCGAGGCATTGGAGGGCGCGGGCGGCCACCGGCATGGCGCTCATCCGCCCGCTCAGCATCACGCGCTTCGTTAACATCGTTGGTGCACTGCTCTCGCGCATCTCGGGGGACGCCAAGCTCAACAACGACAACGTACGTCACCAGGGTACGTGACCGAGGCATTGGAGGGCGCGGGCGGCCACCGGCATGGCGCTCATCCGCCCGCTCAGCATCACGCGCTTCATTAACATCGTGGGCGTACTGCTCTCGCGCATCTCGGGGGACGCCAAGCTCAACAACGACAACTACGTCACCAAGGTACGTGACCGAGGCACTGGAGGGCGCGGGAGGCGCGATCGGAATGGCGCTCATCCGCCCGCTCAGCATCACGCGCTTCGTTAACATCGTGGGCGCACTGCTCTCGCGCATTTCGGGGGACGCCAAGCTCAACAACGATAACTACGTCACCAAGGTACCAAGGAAAATATCTAGTGTTTGAAACCGGTTCACTACTATCGGTAAATATTATTGCTAAATTAAACCTTATGTTGGTCCTCTTTTTTAAATAAGAATGACCGGTGTGAAAACTAACAGGTAAGTGATCCCTGGCTCAAAAACCCTGTAATACAATTGTTAAGTTTAAAGGTGTCAAAAAATGTATCAGCTACGATCTGCGTAGTAAAACAAGTGGTAAAATTAAAAACTTTGTATAGCCGATTTCAATATAAATGAAATGAGAACATCATCAGTGTAGTCGAAGTCAATTAAATACGCATTGTTAAGGGTGCCTCAAAAACTACTGGATAGATCTTGATCAAATTTATATGAGACTACATAAAAAGCATGGTGCTTTTAAAGGATCATTAAAATCGGTTCACCTAGAAGAAATTGTACTGAGGTAAACACACAAATAGAAAACAGTTGAATTAAGAACCTCCTCCTTTTTTTGAAATCGGTTAATAAAATGATGTGTCTTACTTATATATATATAACTACAAATTTAACAAGTTCAAGAGATGTGATGCAGATTTTTGAGTTTGTTGTTTATTGATTAAGGTTTGTTGCAAGCGCTTACAGTAATAAAGATATTAATAGTTACTTTGCAACCATCCGCTGAATAATAATAATAATAATAATAAATGATTTATTTTCTCACCACAATATTACAGAATTATTGTACATAATATTAGAATATTACACCTTAATGTTATACTGTGGGAGACTGGTGCCTAAGCTAGGCTTTACGCCTGTATTTCAGGCCACCAGGTCTCCGCCCTATGGTTGTAATTACAATACTTTTACCATGTTCATGTACCATATTTGTAATTTACATAATGTACCTTCCTTTACTTAACTAGTATTTAATATATATTTAAATCTGGTGCTAGTATTAGTCTCTCTCTCTCTGTGTGTGTGTGTGTGTGTGTGTGTGTGTGTGTGTGTGTGTGTGTGTGTGTGTGTGTGTGTGTGTGTGTGTGTGTGTGTGTGTGTGTGTGTGTGTGTGTGTGTGTGTGTGTGTGTGTGTGTGTGTGTGTGTGTGTGTGTGTGTGTGTGTGTGTGTGTGTGTGTGTGTGTGTGTGTGTGTGTGTGTGTGTGTGTGTGTGTGTGTGTGTGTGTGTGTGTGTGTGTGTGTGTGTGTGTGTGTGTGTGTGTGTGTGTGTGTGTGTGTGTGTGTGTGTGTGTGTGTGTGTGTGTGTGTGTGTGTGTGTGTGTGTGTGTGTGTGTGTGTGTGTGTGTGTGTGTGTGTGTGTGTGTGTGTGTGTGTGTGTGTGTGTGTGTGCGTGCGTGCGTGCGTGCGTGCGTGCGTGCGTGCGTGCGTGCGTGCGTGCGTGCGTGCGTGCGTGCGTGCGTGCGTGCGTGCGTGCGTGCGTGCGTGCGTGCGTGCGTGCGTGCGTGCGTGCGTGCGTGCGTGCGTGCGTGCGTGCGTGCGTGCGTGCGTGCGTGCGTGCGTGCGTGCGTGCGTGCGTGCGTGCGTGCGTGCGTGCGTGCGTGCGTGCGTGCGTGCGTGCGTGCGTGCGTGCGTGCGTGCGTGCGTGCGTGCGTGCGTGCGTGCGTGCGTGCGTGCGTGCGTGCGTGCGTGCGTGTGCGTGCGTGCGTGCGTGCGTGCGTGCGTGCGTGCGTGCGTGCGTGCGTGCGTGCGTGCGTGCGTGCGTGCGTGCGTGCGTGCGTGCGTGCGTGCGTGCGTGCGTGCGTGCGTGCGTGCGTGCGTGCGTGCGTGCGTGCGTGCGTGCGTGCGTGCGTGCGTGCGTGCGTGCGTGCGTGCGTGCGTGCGTGCGTGCGTGCGTGCGTGCGTGCGTGCGTGCGTGCGTGCGTGCGTGCGTGCGTGCGTGCGTGCGTGCGTGCGTGCGTGCGTGCGTGCGTGCGTGCGTGCGTGCGTGCGTGCGTGCGTGCGTGCGTGCGTGCGTGCGTGCGTGCGTGCGTGCGTGCGTGCGTGCGTGCGTGCGTGCGTGCGTGCGTGCGTGCGTGCGTGCGTGCGTGCGTGCGTGCGTGCGTGCGTGCGTGCGTGCGTGCGTGCGTGCGTGCGTGCGTGCGTGCGTGCGTGCGTGCGTGCGTGCGTGCGTGCTTTCGTGCGTGCGCGCGCGCGCGCGTGTGCGTGCGTGCGTGCGTGCGTGCGTGCGTGCGTGTGTGTGTGTGTGTGTGAGTGAATAAAATCAAATGATGTGCCTTACCTAGTTTGAAGAGCACCTCCTGCCCTCTCTCACTTGCGTGCACCATCCCCGTCACCACTAATCCCAACACCACTATGCACTGTGATTCCCCACCGACAAACCATTCTCACCAGAGTTATGCAAGCGCACTATTATTGAACTTTTAATGTTAGTTTTTATGGCGAAATTAAACCTAGATTCTATAGCGCAAGAGGTATGTGCTCTGACCACTGACGTTAATGAAAAAACGTACATGTTATGTATAATGTAAATGTACTAAAACATGACATCCCTAGATATCACAAATTAAGAATAATTTCAAAAAACAAAAGTAATAGGTAAAAATAATTTTAACTTTGTAATAAACAGACATGGTAATTTTTTTTAGAATTGTGTCATAAAAAATATTTATAGATCAAGTGAGATTTGTTTTCGACTAAGCTTTCGTTATTTTGTTTCAGGTGCCGCACCAGTCCAAGCGTCTATTGTATCCGGGGACAGTTTCGAAGTCATGGCTCCGAACAGTGAACACTCTGCACGCATTCCCACATGCTCTGGCCCTCTTCGTTTATCTCTTGGATCTCGCCAATCATATTGTAAGAATAAAAAATCATATTACAAGCAAATTTTTATAACATCTTTCCACCAGATAGTTAGAGATCTATTATTAACTAGTGAAATCACACATTTATCAGAAACATTTGTTTTATTCTTTAGTGGGGTCACCAACAGATGATACACTACTCTAACAAAAATTTAACTTAATACTGCGATGGCGCCATGCTACGTGCCCATCCTCTTACACGTAACCACAACTCACATAAATAACGAAGTGATTTAAAGGAAAAAGTAACAGATAATAAACAGGAGTTACCACAGTTTGTGGATTTAATGCTTACAGTCTATATAAACATTGTAATGTATTTTTTATGTATTTTTTTATTATATTGATATTTTATTCACAATTATATATTTATGGAAGCCAACCAGATGAGACCCGGCAGTACAGAGCATTTCCGACCGGGAGACCGTATGGAAGGAGAAGGAGCTCCACAGGAGGTACTACAGGGCTCTACATGAGCACTTCGTAGATACTATCGCCTCCCTCAACTGGCTACGTTTCGGTGACCTCTTCGGGGAAACCGAGCGTTTTATCTGTGCAATACGGGATTAGGTTAATAAGACCAATAACTATCATAACTTTCTTCGATTTTAAAAAAAAATTCATTCGAAAACAAAATTTCGCGGTATACTTTCCCGCGTACCGTCGTAACAAAGCGCAGGATCTACCCAGCCTAATTTTTCAAACGCTCGTTCAAAAATGTCCGGTCTGCTTACGATAAACTCGTAGTCCTAGGTCTTCATTGATCACTCTTTTGACCGTGGTTCTGCTTAGGC